CAAAAGTAAAGGTTTCAGTAATAAAAGTTTTGGTTAACAGCCATTCCCAATCATCCCTACCTCCTCCAGAAACTCTCCCAGCCTTCCACCAGCCCGGGAGGGGAGAGGAAGGCGCCCCCCTGACCTGCCCTGTGGGTAGAGCACCCAGCCTCTCTGTCCTGGGGCCAGTGGGCTGCCCTCACTTGTGCTCCCTGTATTTGCCTCGCCTGTTGCTGCCCCCATGTGCTGCAGTGGAACACAGGCTTTCGGGTCAGATTTGGGCCTCATCTCAGGCGACTCCTAGTTGTGCACCCTGCACAAGTTGAGTTATAAATCTCTCAGCGATTCAGCGTCCTCACCTTGTCACTGCTGGTAACTTTTAGGCATATTTAACAGGAAGGTGGGGATTCGAGCTGTATTTACAGGGTGGGCAGAGCTTGGGATAACCCGACACTCTTGGTATAGCCCTGAAAGAGATGACAAATGGCGTTCAAGCTATTCTAACCATCCTTCATAATTACCGTTGTTGACATTGCTTACCCTTAATCAGAAGAGCATAGAATCACTCAGACTCCCCTGTGAGTCCGCAGTTGACCTCTTAGAAGCTGTTAGCACCTCAGGCAATGACTTTCTCTCAGACTCGGGTTCCTCAAGTCTGCGATATCCTAATCTTTAAAAAAAAAAAAAAGGCCCGTGGTGAATTAAAAGTATAGTGTGTGAAGCACTCACGTTTGCCAGCATTCACAGGTGGGCCCATCTGACTTTGTCCCTTTACACACTGTGAATATTAAAGGTAAGTTGTACTCTGTAAATCATCAGGTTACCAGAAATTCATTAACCAGCTACTCTAATACTCTAGATAGCAACTGACAGTGGCTTTTCATTTTAAAATTTCAACCTGATTCCACCACAGCACTTCCATGTGTGTGGCATATTTTTTAATGTTGGTTTGTTTTTCTTCCCCCAGATGGTATATTACTTATGGTCATGAACTCATTTGGAAGAACAGAGAGCCTCTAGTGAAAATTTGGCATGAAATGAGAACTAATGACCCCAAAAAAGGAGGCGGTGGCCCCAAGTAAGCTGGAATGGTCAGTACCTGCGCATCTGCTTGTGCGGCCTGAAACCCCGGAAGCCTCAGCCCCGGATCGACCTCATCTTCGCTCCTGCCTGGAAGACGCCCAGCATCTAGTTTCCCTGAACGTCTTACTCGAAAGTGAATTATGATGAAGTTGTGAAATAAAGGTTTATATCTCTAGTTTGTAAACAAAGGGTGTGTGTTCTCTTTTGAAGAGCTCTAATGCTGCCAGAATCTTGCTGCTGTTTCAGTGACATGGTCTGAGCCAGGAGCCAGGGAAGAGACCTGCTTGTGTTTATAAGCTGCTTTCTAGCATCTCCACTAACTTTACTTACTTACCCACCCCTTGCTTTTCTTGGCTGACAGATAAAAGTTGAGAGCTTCTCTCTGGCGTGGCCTGAAATAACAGCTGCAGTATTTTCTAACTTTTCCCCCAAAAGGTAATGTTTTCTGGCAGTGAATGGCATATACAACAGCTATATTTAGGATTTGCTTTCTAGGTTAAAATTACAGTTAAATTGGGAGTTAGAAGGAAGTATCTTGGATAAATCAGACTTGAGTCTGAGCCTAATTGCATCTTACAGATCGAAGCATCTTGCTGAAGCGGCCATGGCAGGGTGCTGCCTGCTCGTTGTCCTGTGGTTGAAATTCTAGGAAATGGAACTGAGAATTTAATTTTTCTTAAAAGGATTTCTAGGAGAGATTTTAGTCTTCTGGTCACTTCAGAAGTTTATAGAAACCTCAGGCCACTGCACTGGGGAGGCAGGAGGCCCTGGCCTGGAGGCGCGGACACTGAGCACCCGCCTTAGAGGAGTGGGAGCCTCAGGTCTCCGTGCCGGGAGCAGGTGGCACGTGCGTGCCCATCAGGACTGTCCGGGGTTGGGCAGTTCCCTTTTCCACCAAACCAGACTTTGCTACTGTGAAGACCCAGTTATTCCAGGCAGAGGATTCTATTCTAAACTTATTTCTGGGAGAGGATTTTTTTTCTTTTGGGGAGGGATTTTTTTTAACCCAGCCCTTGTTTTGCCAGTAAGGATCTAGGGCAGGCAGGTGTGTGTGAGACAGGGAGCGTGGGCGTGTGCGAGGGAGCACGAGCATGTGCTGCCCAAGGTCACGCTGATGTGTTTTCACATTTCTGAATACTGATGCTAGTCCTGTGACATACAGATGCGGCAAGAAGTGTTTTTCAGAGACGGGAGGCTGAGATCACATGGACGTTCCAGATGGAGACCAACATGAAATTCATGTCTTACCGTGGGCAGGCCAGGAAAACAGATTAAGACACATTTCTCTGCCTGCTCTGGGGCGGTTTGGGGAGGAAAATTTAGAAGGTCAAGTCCCCACAGCATTTCTTTGTTCATACTACCCTTTGACGCTGGAACCTTTGAATAGCCGAGGGTAGTTTCCTCAGGAGGGCCTTGGAGGTCAGAGACCACCCCGGTCTGGAAGCACAGCCCTGGTGTCCTCAGCCTGCTCTTTCCTTTCCTCCCAGGGGTATGTTGCCTGGTGGTCTCCATTTCTCTGCGGGCACTGATCACCCTACTCTGCCAGGCTCATGTGCCTCTCAGACTGTGCCTCTCCGCTGCTGCTTAAGTGTGTGTCCCCTGGAGTGCACCTCCTAGTTGCAATTTCACCACTTAACGGGGTGCATGTGGGGCTTGTTCTCTTCAATTTGTCTTCTGAGCGTGGAACTCACCAAACATCTCAGTGCCCAGTAAACGTGTCTATGGCATGCTAGGCATGGTTTCAGGCACAGGCACCACTGTGTATGCCCTCCGAGTGTCACTCCGGCTTATTTCTACAATCCATCCCCTCTCAAATCCTAATGCCTGTGCTTTAGTTCCTCATCTCTGACCTGGTCTGTGAGACACTTCTCCAGCAGGTCTCTATGGTAAAAACACTTCAGTCATTCCCTGTTGTCACCTATGGAAGCTTCCATCTCCCTCATGGTGCTACGTCAGCGCACAGCCCAGCCTCTGCTGCCTCTGGTTCACCCTTCCCCATCCCAGCCACCATCCACCACAGTGGGCAGCCCAGCCTCCTGCCCTCTTCCTGCTGTGCCTGACTCCCGCACAGTTCCGTGTTTATTGCCCACTGCACCATAAACCTCTCCAAGGCCCCCAGCATTGCTCCAAGCATGTAGTAAATGCTCTTTGTTCTCTGAAGTAAAATGAAGAACTGCTTCTGTTTTCTGCAGGCTATTTTAGTCGTCAAATTTTGGGGGTGGCTGATCCAGGGTCCTGGTGGCAGGGTGTTTTCACAAAGGTACTTCACAGGTATGTAATCAGGAATTCTTTGTGGGTGCAGGGCCGTGACTTCAGCTTCAGGCAATGGCTTGGGAAAGGTGTCTGGACTCTCACTGGGAGCTGGGCTGCAGTCCTCTGAGATGCATATGGAAGAGAGGCCAAGGCTGTGCTTGATTCTGAGCACTGGGTAATTAATGCCACCTCAATAGCATTATTAGTAATTAATTAGTAATTATTAGCATTGTTAGTAACTTTTTGACAGTGACCAGGAAGTTGTTTCTAATTGTCATGCACCAAATTCACCTTTCTTTCCCTGGATGATTAATCAGGCTTCACTCCTCAATGAATGCAAATGCATGCACAGAGGTAAAGGACTTGCATAGCACAGTGGCCAAAGATTGGTAGTAACTTTCTAAAAGTTAAATGAATTTGTCCTCCCTAGGTGACTTTTTTTTTTTT